GGCAGAAGAGTAGGGTAGGCTGACATGGTGACTCCAGGACACATGAACTTTGAGGGTCACTGGCAATTGGCTCCCCATGTCTGTTTCCCCACCCATAGCCCCATTCTTGTGTGGCCACGGGGACCCACCAGGCACTGAGGAGAAAAAAAGAAGCAAACATTTTCACTTTTTAAAAAACTCTGCCGTTTTGTATTTAATAACTTCTTTGTCAGTAATGTTATTTGCTGTGTGTGTGCGTGTGTGTGTGTGTGTGTTTGTGTGTATATATACATGTGTGATTTGGTGGGTTGGGGCACAATTCTGGACTGGACTTCCTGAGCTATGCCTTGCCTCTTCACCCTCAACTTCAAGTTCTGCATTCCTGGAGCACGCTGACTTGGTCCTGGATCACCATTCCCACCTTCATTGTTGCTTATGGCTCTGGTCCCTTGGACTCTCTGAATAGAGCAGCCAATCTCAACTCATTTTCTGCAACAGAGCCAGGAGGCAGCATGTGATGCTTGGATTACACTGGGACAGAAGAACTCTAGATGGATGGCCAGGGTTTACTGTGGCCCTTAGCTGGACTTTTTCTCTACCAGCCTCCCTCTTCTCCCCTTCCCCTAGCAGCACCAGAAGCTGCTGATAGCCTGCTCATTACTCAGTGGTACTTGGGGGTGGGCTGATGTTGGGGGAAGGCAGCAGCCACTGGGGGAGCTGTTACCATTTTATACCATTGTTTATTCTTTTCTGTGATTAAAAGTGCTTCAGCCCTCCTCTACATCCTAGCTATTAAAGTGATTGTTCTACCTACCTCACTGGATCCATAGATTGGAACTGAGGTTCTTAGGAGGTCTAGCTCTCCACAGAACATTAAAGGAAAATACATCTGAGTTATAACTAAGAGTTGCTTGGTAAAAGAAAGATGTAATTGTTCCCAAACTTATACAAGAGACTACCATATAACATTTTAATAGTGAAGTGGGTGAGTCATTCTGACCAGATGATTTCTTCTTAAGTTCACACTGTTACATCTGAAGAAAAAGCCATATGGTATGGTCAAGTGAGCATCTGTTACATGGGGTAAGTCACATAACCACAGAATCATAGACTGCTAAAGGGGCTTTAATGGTCACGGCCTAAATTACTCATTTTATAGAGGAAGAAAACTTGAGGGCCAGAGCAGTGAAGTGGCTTATTTAAGGTTAGAAGCAGAGCTTGGACTAGAACCAAGGTTTCCTGACTCCAAATCCAATGTTCTACACGACACTGAGTCAGAGTTAATTATTTCTAAGGTTACCCCCATCTGAAAAACTCTATGAGGTCTAAAGAGCCAATGAGAGAAACACCTCCAATCCAAATGGTGAAGCTTTCCCAAGAATTTCCTGCCATTCAGTCCCCCAGAGTTAACTATGCCAATTGATGAGGGGTTTGGAGAAATTAACAGATAAGACTGTCACTGTTGGACCCTCTCTTACAGACTTTTCCAGCTTGATAGGATGTATCAAAGCTTGCAGACTGACCTAGGATCCCACCTTCATGCTACAATGAAACATCAGAGGGTCTGTTGTTTAAGGACCAGCCTGGCTACATTCAGAGAAGTACCATCAGGTTTGCTGCAGGACGATGGATTTTTTGGCCACAGCAACTTGTGAAGACCATCTGCTAATTTATGAGTGGATGTGACCTGCCACATTGATGAATGGTAACTTGAAGAATGTGTTATCTTTAGGCACTGATCTTACCAAAGTGTTTCTGAGATTTGGATTTAAATTTCAGGAACTGAGTACTGGTGTATAATAATTACCAGCAGGTAATTCTGACACTGACGCAGATTAAAATTAAAATGACTAATCTATCTCCTACTTCCCACAAGTTACTCTGTCAGGGTGACAGAAAAAAGGGCCTGAAACCTTGGATGTGGGAGAATGTATGTTCCAGTAGCTAGGCTTCAGTATCTAAATGTGCTTCCTGAACCTGCCACTTCCCAGAATAGCTTATCCTGGTAAATGTATATAATCAAGTATGTCTTCAAAGTCAGAAACGATAGGTTCAACTGATTTTAGGACTTGTAGAATCACAAAATCCCATATTGATAACAAGTCCAAAATTGACTGTACCTAGTTTACATAGGACTTTGATGTAGCATATATAGTATTCCCAGTATCTTGGTAGTGGGAAAATGGATAAGGCTTCTATTCCATTTGGAAAGGCTACTAAAGTTAGTTTCATGTGAACAGTCTAATTCCCAATGCAGAACTGACTTTTGCAACTCAGTGTTAGTAACCTGGGGACCACTGAAAGTCAGTAACTGGTCACATGGCTACTATGTCACTAACAGCTCTCCTGAGTTATCTCAGCATCTAGGTTTACTATTCATTTCTTTTGAGGAAATTTTAACCTGAAATATTCCAGATCTTTTACTACTGGACTCCCCCTGGCTAAAGTCTATTTGGAAGTGCTAGAAGGGCCCTAAAGGGGAAAAGGAAATGGGGACAAAAAGCATCTAGCCTTTTTTGGGTGGGACATGGGCTATCAGCTTGTCCCTCTTCTATTGACACTTAGGTAGAAGAGTTAAAATAATAAAAAGGAAACAGTTCTAGTACGACAAAATGGGTTCAGGTCAAGCAAGGCCTCCCTCACAGATACTCTTGGGAAAACAATGAGGGACCAGTTGAAGTCAGCATCTCAAACTGGAAGCCATTTTTGTTTCTGAGAAAAGGAATATGACAAACCACAATCAGGATGGTAGTTTCTCTGCAGATTCAGCTCACATAAATGACCTAGCACTTGTTTTCCTCCAGCCAAGAACAAAGGAATCTGTGAGTACTCTTCTGATCAATCAATACAGATAGGTTTACTGAAGGGCATAGAGTAAACCTACAAAATAGTCTCAGGAGATTATGCACTCCGCAGGCAGTAAATAAATATTTAATTGATTTGAGAATGAGTGACTAGAGGCAGAGATGAGCAGGCTATCTGGGAGCTGATGAAAAGGAGGTAAGCAAAGTTAGAACACTCAAGTTACTATCAAGTCATCTTTCATTTCTTTTCTTCTTGGTCAGTTGGATGTTATCTCCCAGGATAAAGGTAAAGAGCTTGAGAGTACATGTTATATGAGGACTGACTGGAGGAACTGGAGAAAACTGGGAGAGACATGAGATTTTACTAACTTCACACAAAAGAAGGATTAGACTTGTTCTTTTTGGCCCAAAGGGCATATCTATGTACAACAAGAGGTATTTGTAGAGAAGCAAAGTTAGGCTCAATGTAAGGAAAAGCTTCCTAATATTTAGATCTATGCCAAATTGGAATGGACTCCCTTGGGAGGTCATAGGACCACAAATTTAGAGTCAGAAAGGACCTTATGTGTCATCCAGCCTGACCTCTTATTTTACATATGTGGAAACTAAGGTCTGGGGAGGTTGTATCTTCCACACGAAGCGTATGGGGTGTTGAGGAGGGCTAGTACCTCTGGTATGAGGGCTTACTGCTCATTTCACTTTCAGGGCTGCTCATCCACTTTTGGTATCCAACTCTCAACTCTCACCTGTGACTCCAAGAAGCTAAGAACGTAGAGGGGGCATACCCCAGTAAAACTGTCTTGAGCAGACAGGCTAAACCAGGTTGAGGGTAACCAACCTCAAACCCTGTCAGTAAATTAGGGGATGTCTACCCCAAGCACGTGAAGACTTTCCCCTGGCAGAATGGGCAGGTGAGAACAATTTGTTTCAATGGCCATGAAAGAGGCTGAAGCACGTGCTGTAGAGCACTTGGAGCTTGATTAGACATCAAAGACACCAAGGTCATCCACTGCATCCCAGGCCACTGCCGGTTGTCTTGACTTTTGTCTTGCCACTGGACTTTGATGCTTCTGGAAGAGAAAGTGGGGCTGACAACTTGTACCATTGCCTCAACCAAATCCAATTCACACACCAGTCAAGACTGGTCCTCACTGAAAACAACAGAAATAATGGCCGAGTTGCGATATAAACCCAAGTCCTAGAAGTCCCAACCCATCACTCTTTTCTACTGTATCATACTGTGGGTTGGGCTCCCCATCACAGGAGTTTTTATGACCCTTTCTCACCTATGTAGGGATTCTTGTTCCAAGAACAGATTGGAGTTGGACTATTTGGCCTCTGAGGTTACATACACCTATGTACCCCTAAAAAAACAGAAGCCAAAGTCAAGCTATCCAGATTACTGGGGCTTAGGGTCCTGGGTTGTTGAACTATGTGTTCCTCTCCTACTCTGAGGAAGGGAATTTTAGTCTGAAAGCCCACTGAATCCCAAGGAACGATATCTTTTACATGTGGGGTTATCAACTTCTTGAGGATAATCCTTTAGGCTTCTAATTCAATCTTAACAGGTTTGCCGCTGAGTACAGCTACTTGAAAAAAGCATAAAGGCTAATATACTTAGTGAGTTTAGTATCAATCAGACTACAGAGTATTGTATTCAGTTCTGGGTCCTATTAACAATACCAACAAGGAGTACCAAATTGAGGAGTTTGGAAACCATAAGGATCAGCTGAAGGAACTGAAAAACACCTGGGAGAGGAAGGAAGCATAATCACTCTTTGCCAGAGGAAAGGATTAAGCTTTAGGAGGCAAAACTGTATGGAAGTTACAAGGTGGTGTATCTGGTTTTTACTTAAGAACTTCCTAACACTTACAGATGTCTGATGATGGATTGGGCTGTTTAGCAAGTTCCCAGGTACTGAAGGAGTTGAAGCAGAGGATGGATAGCACCTGTTAGGGATATTATAGAGTGACTGATACTTTGAGTAGAGGTATGGATAGATGATTCTTGCAATCACTTTCTGCTTTAGCAGTGTATGAAAAATAAACTCGACCCAAATTTCTCAGGTAGGTAACTACCCACGTTAGGCAATCAAAGTCAAGGAGGTTAGGAGTACAGTCTGACCAGAACGATGGGAAGCTGAGCTTTTATCTCTTGTGATTTCTGCCCCAATCAAAAAGAATAATCCCCAACTCAAATAAACAAATACCACGAGCTTGAAATGGCAAACCATATTTAATGTCTTTATATGTCCTTCACTGTCACCCCTCCATTGTGATCCATCATCAATCAGAACTCGGCAGGGAGCACATCAGTACATTCCTTTGACCAAGGCTGGAAGCCAGGGAGATTCTCAGGCGAGGGCATGCAAACAATTTCAGGTGTTCTACAGCAGGCCTCAGGCCTCTGTATTCTGCGATAAAACGATCTCTTCAGTCCCGTAGGACGTTTGGAGTCTTTTGTTCTTCAGCTGCCTGACGTAGGACACCACGATGCTGAAAGTAGCGATAGGCCCGGGCACTACACAGGAAGCCTCCATACACGGTGAGCAACATCATGGAGGCAGAGAAGGCCTTGTAGCCAAAGTCAGCTAGCTGTTTAGCCGATGGCATTTTGCCCCCTGCAAAGAAACTGGATTCAGATCCAAACCCTTGAATATGATACACATACTCCCAAGTGCTCACACCTTTCTGGAAAGTCATCTGGAATTATGCAAATAAAGGAGTTAAAATTTCCAGTTAGGTGTATACCCCAAGGTCGTCACTGACCAAAAAATTTTATATACATCAACATATTTATAGCAGCACTTTTTGTGGTAGCAAAAAAACAGAAACAAACTAGATATCTATTAATTAGGAAATGGATAGAAAAATTGTGGTACACGAATATAATGGAAAATTACTGTGCTATAAGAAGCAATGATAAATATAGAGAAGCATAGATTTAAATGAACTGATACAAAGTAAGGGGAGCCAAGCAAATAATACAGACATTCAGGTAAGTAGAAAGAACAACAAAACAATCAAAAAATGAATGCTGAAAAACTGCAAAGAACAAGCCTGGCCTCAACATTTCCCTTCACTTCTTTGTAAAGGTAAGGAAGTCCACAAATATAAAACACTGAATACAATATCAGATTTTTTTTGATGTACTGATCAGTTTTGCTGAATTTTTCCCCCCTTTCTCTTTTTATTGTTTAAATTCTTTGCAGGCAGAGCCAAGAAAGCAAAATACACAGTGCCTATTGTGTAGTCCACTACATACAACACAGAGTTGAACGAATTACACACACAAAAAAAATCAAAAGTGAATACTGCAAAATAATAAAGAATCAAGATGGTTCCAAAGAAGAGATATGGGAAGATACTCCCAACACTCCCCTTTTAAAGAGATGGGTGAGGCAGCTAGGTGGCAAAATGGATACAGCACCTCCCTGGAGTCAGGAGGACCTGAGTTAAAATCTAGCCTTAGACACCTGACACCATTGTGACCCTGGGCAAGTCCCTTAACCCTACCTACCTTGAAAAAAAAAAGTTAAAGAGACAGGAAGTCTACAAGTGTGGTACAGCATACCTATTTTCGGACTTCTCTATGTACTGATTAGGCTAATCTTCTCTCTTTTTGTCTTTAAAAATATTGCTTCTTATATGGGATGGCTCTCTGGGAGTAGGAGGGATACTGAGGGAAATCGGGAAAAAAAATCAATATATAAAGACACTAATGAAAACTTATTTTGGGGGCAGCTAGGTGGCACAATGGATAGAGCTCTGGCCTTGGGAGTCAGAAGAACCTGAGCTCAAATCCAGCCTCAGACACTTAACACTTGCTAGCTACATGACTCTTAACAAGGGCAAGTCACTTAACCTGGATTGCCTCACCAAAAAAAGCAAAAAACAAAAAAAACTTAATTTTTAATAAATTCTTTGTTAAACGGCATGCTCTGAGGAGGTGTCATGGAAGGGGTAAAAAGGGAAATGTAGATGATATAGAAACAAAAGATCAATATAAATCTATTTAAAAAAACAAAACAAAAAACAAAAGAGCCTTGAGATTTCACCTCACTCACACCCAGCAAACTGCCAAAAATAACAAAAGATAAAAACTGTCAAAGTCAGAGGAGTTCCGGAAAGTCATACCAACGCACTACCGGTAGACCTGTGAAATTATTCCACAATTCTAGAAAACAATTTGGAATCAGGAGTGACTAAAATGTCTAGACCTAGAGATTTACCCCAGGGATGTTAAAAATAAAAACATAGGTCCAAATACATACAAAAATATTTACAGTTGAGATCTGTGTTTTAACAAAAGACTTGAGACAAAGCAGATTTTCATTCAAAAATGGCTAAACAAGTTCTGGTACATTAATAAAACTATCATTTCGCTATAATAAATGATAAAGATGATCAATACAGAGACACATGAGAAGACTTACATAAAGCAATGCAAAGTGAAATAAGCAAAACTAGGAAAACCACATACACAAAGATTACAACAATATACACAGAAACAACAAAACAATCAAACTGAATGCTGTGAAATTATAATGGCCAAACTTGGTGTCAGAAGATTTATGAGAATAGCCTTCAGAGTACTTTTACAGAGGTGGAGGACTATGGATGTGGAACTGCATATGTCAGATTTTTTTTTAAAATGTCTTGGGTTACTTTTGCTGAAAGTTTTTTTCTCTCTTCTAAAAAATATTTATAAGCTCTCTGGATGGTGGGGATGGGGTGGGGGCGGGGAAGAGAAAAAGAATGTAGGTAATGGAATAAAAATTTATTTTAAAGAACTTCCTGTGCTAGGGCCTGGGAGGAGATATAAAGATCAAACAATTACCCAAGAGCCCTCTCCTGATTAGGTCTATAATAAATTATTCAATCTGAAAAAAAGAAGGCTAATGTGGGACTGAATAATTACTAGTCTCGATCCTCTTCATACCCTTTGGGATCCTTTTCCATCAGTTATCATTTTTTTACTTTTCAATGAATCCCCTTCCATTGGCTCCTTTCTATCAACCTTGCTAAAAACTCCTATTATGATCCCACTGCTTTCCTTCTAGATGTGGCCTTCAAAAAAGCTAATAGGACCTTACACAGGATACAATGGAAGTACAGTGTTTTCCATTTAGCCCCAGGGTTTTCCCTGAACATCCACACAGACACTAGGTATGCTTCTGGTATACATCATTTAGTGGGGAACGGCTATAAATATTTTTGTACATATTTCCTCTTTGATCTCTTTGGGATATGGACCTAGTAACAGTATCACTAGGTCAAAGAATATATACATGATAGCTTTTTGGCCACAATTTCAAAATGCTTTCCAGACTAGTTCATAACTCCACAAACAAAGGATTAGTGTGGATACAATACAGGATACCACCAGAGTCTGGGGCTTCCTTAAATGATCCATTACAGAAAAGAATAAAGTCAGCATTGGGCAGGAGAATAATTTTTTGCATGGCTTCATACATAAATGAAAAATCTGGAGGCAGTCATGGAATACGGAGTGAGTCTCTCCTTTAGGGAAAAGGGTAACATAGTTGCTGGTGAGTGATGGAAGGGTTTTTCATAGACGGTCTCCGGATCAAAAGATACTGTGTATGGTAAGCATGGAACAGGAAAAATGGCATTGGGAACAAAAAGGGGGAGGTGTCAGAAAGGTCTATTTGTCTATCATAAAGATAGCCACAGCTGAAGTCTGAACTACAGGATCAAAGTGTTAGAAGAAAAAGGCAATGGTCCACATCTCAGGTTCTAGAGGTTAGCACATTACAGCTGCCACACTTCCAAGTCTTCATGACAAAAGAAGGTAATGGATTTGTAAAAGTTTGGGAGACCTAAATCTGGAGGTGAAGTTCACATACTGAATGAAGGAAAAAAGCACTTCATGTTCTTTGTCCCATAGCATAAGGTCAGGAGCAAGGAATAGAAAGGCCTTGCCACACCTACAAATTGTTGGATCCACTGCCTACAACAGACAGGAGCCCCTAAGAATTTCTCAATTTGCCTTTCAGTTACTGGCATGGGAATAGACAGGAGAGTGATAAAGTGGGCCTGACCCAAGGTGGCACGAATGGTGGGAAATCTCATGACCTAGTAAGTTCCTTGGCCAAACTGGAACTTGGATTTTGACATTTTATTGCCTTGCTGTGCAAATGAGGTGAATAAAGAGAGAATTATGAGAAAATTTTCCCGGCTTTGACTCAAAGTAATAAGTTATAAACATATCAGACAAAGGTGGATCCACAAGGGAAGTCTTCCTTTAATATTTGGGAAAACAGGGAAGGGGATTCCCCTGTGAAATTCAAGTCCAGGTAAGCTGATGTCCCTTGACAAAAAGGAACTGGGAATTTGGGTAGAATGGAGAAAATGGAAAAAAAGGCAAAGGGAAAAGTGAACAACATAAACCAGGTTGCAAAAGAGAGTAAAGTATGGTAACAGGGCTGGGAACAATGAAGTGGCGAGAAATTATAAAGAAGTTGATAATACAGAAATCTTAGTCAAAGTGGTCATATAGGGTTCCCATCTTGGTCAACTTTTCCTTCTTTCTTGACTAGCAGGATTAGGGGCAATACAAGGGGAAGTGACTTAACACAAAATACTTTGTTAAAGAAGAAATTCAATGAGAGGAGTGATTCCTTTTCGGGCATCTTTTACAGGGGAATCAGGAAGGGGAAAGAGGAGTATAAAAGAGCTGCTCAAAAGGGGTAGGGGGGACAGAGGGAAGTAAGAATTTCTGGGAAAGGTTAAGAATGGTAGGATCAGTTTAGGATGGAAGTTTCTGGAACGCTAGCAGTTTTTGCTACAACTCCAGAACTTTACTTTCTGTTTTTGTCAGGGAATCCTTCTAGCTAGCAAATGCTATCTTCTTCTTTTAAAACATATCTGATCTCTCAAAAAAAAAATAATAATATCCCATGTTTTGGGTCAGAATCTTCTAAAAAGCTTTGTAAATAAGTCAAATGATCCTGCATTTGGCCACTGCTAACTGGGATCATCCATGGTATACTCATTCCCCTTGACAAGAGAAAGATGAAATGTTTTAGAGATAATCCTATGGGTAACTATCAAGGCTGGTTAGAAATTATTTATTTATTGCCATTTGTGCCACTATAATCCCACAGGTGGTTTTACTCTGTTTATTACTCCTGGATGAGTCTATCCACAGAAAAGAGGGAGGATGTCTATACACAGTCATCACTCTCAGAGAGAATTATTTTCCTTGAAAGAGTCTTTCCTCAGAATCTTCCAAAGTATCTAGGCTTTCTTTGTCACACAGACTAATACTAGCTGTGCTACGTTTCAAACAACTGAACACTCAGTAAAGTCCAGGAGATCATGAGTCCATAGAGAAAACCCTACATTAACCCTTTTTGTTAAAGTTTCCAGAAGGTCTCAAGAAGGCATGATTTTCAGAGAAAAAAAAAATGACTCTTACCACCTTCAGGAATCAAGAGGGCTGGGACAACACAGGAAAGTCTGGTGAATGGTAAGAAGTCTTACCTTAGCGGCATTCCTGATAATTCACCTGTGCTACTGGTCTCACGGGTCCCCAAAGAAGTTCCAGTTACCTTACTTCTGACACCAAATTGTTGGGAGATTTCTCAAGCTAGGG